CACTACTGCCGTACAAAAAATTAAGGCTAAAGTAAAACAACTTCCTTATCTTGCTTTACCATATCCAGAATGGGCAAAGATTGTAGAAACTGATGCCTCTAACTATGGTTATGGAGGTATTTTAAAACAGATTAATCCTACCAGTCAAAAAAAAGAACTATTAAGATTTACATCAGGAAATTGGACTAAAGCTGCTCTCATTTATCCCACAATTAAAAAAGAGTGTTTAGCTATTGTTAAATGTGTTTGAAAATTTCATGATGATTTGCTAAACCAAAAATTTCTAATTCGTGTGGATTGCTCTGCAGCTAAACAGATATTTAAAAAAGATGTTCTTAATCTTACTCATAAACAAAGATTTGCAAACTGGCAAAGTGTTTTATTTGCATTTGACTTTGATATTGATTATATCAAAGGTGAACAGAATTCCTTACCTGACTTTCTAACTCATGAATATTTGTAGGGATCATGACCAATAGAGGTAGCCATGGCTCAAGTCATCGAGGCTGGGGCAGGGGAAACCCTTACTAAAATCCATATCTAACAAAATTTCCAGCACCACAAGCCTCTAACAGTAATCCAGGGGAATTCTCTGGCCAGTCTACCAAAGATGTTCTCCTTACTCCTAAACAGTACACTCCTAAAAGTATTACTAAAGAAACAGTCCTTTACATTAAACCAGCAGATGAAAAATTGATGACAGATCCATGGGAAATTAAACGTCGTTATCTTATGACCCAACAATTTCCCCCACATTTTGACCAGTGCCGTCATATTTATGAACAAATACTCATTGAGACTGCCGCCACGGAGAACAAGCGTACTTTGCATGATCATTCCAAGACTGCCAGTCCGATCCAATTCAATAAAACAATCATCCGTAATATTATGCCCATTGCTACATAGGGCATTCACCCGCATACTACTCGTCAACTTGACATTCATAATAGAGAAACTAGATAAAGTTATTGGGACTATATCGATGCCTTTACTTATGCATTTTATTACCAGAATCCTATCCGTAATCATTCCTGGTTTATCCGAATTTGTCCAGACGTCCTCAAAAATGATTTACCCAATTGGTTTCTCGTTTGATGGGATAAATTTGGACTACAACTTGAAGTTTGACCAGTATCTATCCATGAAACTTTTAATGAATGGCAAATTGCTTATTCTTATTTACCAAAACAAAAGGATATTTCTATAACCAAATCTTTGGTTCATTTTACTATCCGTTTCAGTATTCCATGGATACGGAAATGGGATTTCCAGTGTGATTATCATAATAAGATTTTACGTCTCAAAAGAGTTTTCTTTATGAGATATTGGGATAAGGGTATGAATTCCACTGTACCAGTAACTGTCCAGAAAATTAAGGCCTATACCCAAGGCTGCTGGGATGCTATTCCCAAAACAATTCCCAGTCAACTAGTCATTCAAAATCTTTTTTTACAAATTCAAACAGAATTACGCCAAAAATACCCAAATTTGTCAGAAACAGAATTAGTCAGTAAAAGCATGGATTTCATGAAGGAAAAATTTCTCCAAACTATTTCCAGTGATGACACCTCCATGAAATCCGTTACTAGCAATTAAGACCAGGAAGATCCAGACCAAGATGAAAATGAATTTGCTGCTCTAGCAGGCGAATCACAAGATCCAGCAAAAGATGAACCCAACTTTGGTATTTTTGGGATTCACTCACCAGCATGATTGCCGAAAAGATTGACAAGGAAAAGGCAAAGCATAAGTCTTTATCTTGTCTCCCACCAGAATCATTCATCTTGAGCGTTGGCACAAAACGACAACTAACAGTACACGTACTTTCTGTAAAAGCAGATTCCTTGTCTGCCATCCAGCACAGAGACCAACAATTGTCTCACTCCTGTCCAAAGAAGATAAGGATGCTGAGTTAAAAGAAAATTCCCATTCAGCTTTGAAGATATAGATGATCGACTCCAACAACCAAGGACACACCACCTGTCCTCACCTTATCTTATCTTTTTTTTTTCTTTTGTCTATAGAAGGGATATCCTCACCATTGTTGAGGCAGAGTTGTTTTTAAAGTTTTCTTTCAAGAATTTGTTTTCTTTTCAAGTATAATATCTAAGTGTGTTCTCTCTCTCTCTCTCTCTCTCTCTCGCCCTCCCTTGTAAAATTCCCAGTTTATGATATATAAATTAAATGTTGAAGAATTATGTTGTTTTGAACATTCTGGTTGTAAGTATTTTTTTCTTTAGTATGTATGCCTGTAAATTTACTTGTTGATTTGATTAATGTTTCAGAATTTTATCTTGATAGTAGAAATATATATTTACAACAGCTTCAAGCTAACGATCCGTATTTACAGTCGTATCTTTCTAACCAGTTAGAATTTTGTAATCAACAAATAACTAGGATCCTACAGCAGATCCAGGAGCAGATCCGCTTGTGGGTGGTTGTCGACCGACCTCCACCTCAACAGTAAACCATGAGACCATATATGTAGGAATTTAAATCTAATATAATAATAATAATAATATAAATGATAATATTCCTGAGTTTGTGCTAAATACGGGTAGAACAGAGTAAGGTTAAGTGGGATGTCATCCAAGTCGCATATAGGTTAAAAGACCATAGTTGCAGTGATTGCGTATAGGTCAGTTCCCTAGTAAAACATTGACAGACGTGTTTAGCTTTATAACCATGTGTCAAGCACCTTATTTGCTATCAGAGCCAAGTTTATTATTGTTGGTATTATTGTTATATTTGTTAGGTTTTTATTCTCGGCAACCCCGTTTGACAAAACTCCTTTCAGATGTATTTATTTTCGCACTTTTTATTTCAGTGAGGCTATGAGTTTATTAGATGAGAATCCAAACCCGAATCGAACCATGCAGAGAAGTTTGTGATGTTAATGCTTTCAAGATTGCCACTTCGCTGATTATTACGGGGGTCGAGCTCGCTCGAGCCAAATTGCATTCAAAATGCAAAATTGCATTTTTTGTGATGTTAATACTTTCAAGATTGCCACTTCGCTGATTATTACGGGGGTCAAGCTGCCCGGTCAGCTCGCGGCCTAAGCAAAATGCAAAATTACATTCAAAATTGCATGTCCGTCATTGCTCGCTCGAGCCAAGGAATTCTTGCTCGAGCTAGGGCTTGCTCGCTCGAGCCAAGGAATGCACGCTCGAGCCAAGGATTGCGTCCATACAAAAACCTGAAAAAGTGTATTCCTCGCTCGAGCCAAGGATTCGTCGCTCGAGCCAAGGCACTAGTAGAAATCATGAAAAATACACTCCTCGCTCGAGCCAGAAAATCGTCGCTTAAGCGAGCCTCAGAATCCGGATTTCTCAAGGAGTTTGTTTTCTTCCCAATCTAGGATTACTTTTGGTTCTCTATAAATACTTGGTTTTCTCCCAAAACTAAGGGATATTGATTGAAGTTCTCCAGATCTTATTTTTTGGATCTTAAGGTTTATATCTGGAGATATTTTGTTTGTTTTCTTTGATGCTTTTATTGAGTCTTCAACTCATGATTTAAAAAGAGTACATCAAAGGTTTGTTTGTTATACACAAAAAAGAGAGTTATTCTTCAGTTGTGGATTCTGAAGAATTCGAGCCTGAAGCTTTGGTGGAATCCAGAGTGGCTCATCAGAAAGACAATTCCGTGGTGAACATGGGGTTGGAAGAGGCACATAAAGGTTGGTTCAATTAGGCGTTGTGGATTCGCTAGGTAATTGAGAGTATACCTGTGTAATTCCTTTAAATCTTCTTAATGGATTGTTCTTGTGGCTGTTGCCCGTGGTTTTTTTATCACAGTTGGAGGTGTCCAATTGTGATTTTTTCCACGTAAAATCGTTGTGTCTCTTTGTCTTAATTGTTTGATTGGGATTGTTATATTTTGCTTAAAATTGATACATAATCACAAATCAACATCTAGGGGATTTCTAGATTTTTCAATATTCTATTTAAATTATGCCCATATAGTCACAGTACATTTATTATGTCTTCCACTGAACCTTCAAACATAACAACAGTAGCCAATACAGTAGCTTCTATATCAGAAACAGCAGAACTAGTTGCATATCAGGATGTCAAGGAAGCCCTAAACAAATAGACTATCCCAAATGTAAAACCAGATACAATTTATAAAATTGAAACATTTGATTTTTCTAGTAAAAAGATAATCAAAACTTTTGAACGTGCAATATCACTACAAAATAATGATGAAATAATTAAATTACTTCGTATCCAGGATTTAGCACATTTCTTCTGAAAATATAAATTATGGAATTATTAATACTTTTCAAAAGGAAAGATAAAATAAATATTCCATATCCATAAAATACAATATATATATATATATATATATCTCCAATCAATAAAACATACCCTTTTTTATTCCTTATTTTTTTTTTTATAAGCTATCATTAATTATACCCATACACTTTAATTATTATTGAACATTATTTTATTTTTAATTAAAATTATATATATAGAATATTCAATTATAAAATGATATAATTTTATATCATTTTTTTTTTTTTGGGTGAATGAAAATAATGCAATTTCTAATTAAAAAATGTAATATACTCCTATACAGTAATTTTTTTCACACCAAAAAAAAAAAAATGGAAGAAATAAAAAAGAGTAAACTTATATTGAATGAATTTGGAGTCTTTTGGAAAGTGGGTTATAATCCACTTCTCAGATTATAACCCATTATAACCCACTTTCCTCTCTTACAAAAAATTAATTATAATCATCTTTTAATAAAAAAACTGATTATAATCATCTTTTCAAAAAGAAAAGTTAGGGATCATAAAAAAATTTCATAAAAATGATCAGAAAAGATTTATAATTTTGAATTATCTTGATTAGTATGTAATATTTTATTCTAAGTGTAATTCAAATGTCATAAAATTTTTATAATTATTTTTATAAAAAAAAAATTTTATGACACTTCACATTGCGACTTCCCAAAATAGGCCAATAATTGAATGAGAGAATAAAAAAAAGCATCCTTCCACGACACAACAGTGTTTGACGGGTTGGCGCGAAAGTAGAAATGATAGACCTTTAACGACCCAAAACACAACCTCTCTCTTTCTCTCTCTCGCTCAATGGATTTTCATTAGACAAACCTTGACCTCAACAGAACCAGAAATCAATGGCCTTTCATTTCCTTTTCAACAGAAGAGATGGAGATTTCAATGACAAGTAAGTCCCAATCCCTCAAATTTTCCCCAATTTTTTTATACTAATAATTCTCAAATTCAAACATTTTGTTGTTGTTGTTGTTGATTATCATGAAGAACAATAGCAGCCAACGAAGATCAAGGAGCTGCCTTCGAAGTCTCCAATAGATCGCAGCTCTCCGCCATGGCGGAGGCGTTTGAACAACTCTCAAGATCGGTCAACAAATCTACCAGTTCCGACGACGATGACAATGACGACGATCTCCTCCAATTGAAACCCTTCTGCGATGCCTGCTCTCTCGTCTCCGTCCTCTTCGGTTGCCTCGGCATCGCCTTCAAATTCGCCGAATTTGAATACTGCGGCAAGGTTAATTTTTTAGTTCATTTAATTCCCTCCCTCCCTCTCAATCATGTATATACATAATTCATATAAAAGTAATTTGAATTTTCAAAATGTCAAGGTGTCTAGAAGATATGATTCAAGGTCTTAGGTTTGAATACTATTATGAAATGAATCTACAACTCTTCTATTGAAATGAGTTGGATAAGCATAAAGATAAATAGAGAAAAGCCCTAAGCCCCAAGTGAGAGGGTTAGGAGAAGGAAAAAAAAAAAAAACACTTCTAGTGGCTGTTGAACTAAAAAGTCTTAACAACAGTTTGAAAAAAATAATAATAATAATAAAATCATATTTTGAATGCACACAAAATTTTCCACAGTAGTACCAAACTTGCCCAAAATTTCAACATATAGATATGTATGCGATACATATATGTTTGTTTATAAATATACTAGCGGCCATGCACAAGCAATGTGCATGCATATTGCAAAAATCTCCTCTTGATTCCCGTCCTTCTTCACTCTCCTCCATCTCCTCTCTTTTATGGTCTGTGTTGGTCTTAGATTTGTGAGGGGAGTTATTATCACTACAATTGTGAAAGCATAGGAAATTGATTCCATAATGGGAGTGGAGGAAATTACCAATGTATAAGATGTTGGTTTATTTTTTTCAGTTACAAATTACAAATGATTTTTTTTAAAACGTGATCTAGCTTCATCTACATCAAGTGTGTTGTTCCCTGTATAATATAGAATAGATATTTATGTGTATATATATGTATTTATGTATGCATGTAATTGATAAGTCTTCTCATGTTGTGCCCTATTCATGCACAAATTACCTTTTTGGAATAGTTATAAAAAGCAAGGAAAGGATAATAAAAAGTTCTGATGAATGTATGATGTATCATAGGAGGTAGAAGACAATAATGAACATGCATGGATTTTTGGGATCAATGTTATATAGACTGAACATTCAACCACATCCTCCTTTGGAAAAATTGTGTTCATAAAATTTTCTGTCATATTGAAACAAAGGATAGTCATCGGGATTTCATTCTTGGGTGGGATTTCTGGTTGGAAATTCTTCTTTAAAGCATTCTCCTCAAAAATTAGTATACTATGTGGCTGTCATCCTTAATTTAACATCAATTGATGCAACCCAGGAGCACACTTGCATATTGTGGAAGATTATTCTGTGAGTAGCATAGTGTAGTCCATAATCAATGATACCAGTACATAAGACTGCGCACCCATCCAGATGAATGTATTTCCCATCTTATCCTCAACTGATGGGCAACAAGTAAAAATTCTAGAAGACTACATATTGGATCGTTAAGTGAAACTACACTGAATGACTTACTTAAACCCAATTAGGATAAAGATAATAAAATTAAAGTTGGGTTTTAGTCAACCATATAGCCTGCATGCTACTTGGCTAGTATTGGAAAACCACAGTAGGATGTATAAAATTAGGAATGTTTAAGGATATTAAAATTGGGGATGTTTAAAGATATCAATTCCATAGTTTTGCAATTGAAATTTTAATTGCAATTTTTTATTTTGTGAAGTCATTTGAGATAAATATCTGTATATATAAGTTTGCAAATATTTTCAATTTTGGAGGACTTATAACTATCCTTATGATCTTAAGAAAGTAACTCAATCACATTCTCCTTAGTTCCATTCTTACAAATAACTTCAATTCTTAAAACAAGAAGGAAATAGAGAATTGAAGCAAAGAAACAAGAAGAAGGGGGAGAAAGGAAGCAAAAGAAGAAATCTTGAAAAAAATCTTGAAAAGATGAAGAAGAAACCAAAAATGAAGATCGATTTGAAGAGAGAACCGAAACAACAAAAAGAAAAAGAAAAAATGGAAACAAAAGAACAATAAGAAAGATAGGGGAGAACTGAAACAAATAAGAAGAATAAGAGAGAGATAGAGAGAAAGAAACACACAAAGAGTTGGAGTGTGAAGATTACAACTTGAAAATGAGGACTGAGTTAGAGATCCAACTTGATGGAAGTCGTTTCACTAACCTTTTGTTTTTCAAATGTTCACTCTAAATGGTTTTCTTTACATAAGTAACTATGGATTTTTTGCTACAAATATGAGAATATCTTAGGGCGACGAGTTTTAAATTTTTCAAAAAATTCTTGGGGTGGTGAACCTATGTAATTTAGGCATATTCTTAACTAATACTTCTATATTGAAGGAGTTTTTTCAAAACTTTGAGGTGGCGGTCACCCCTGCCAGCCCCCCCTCGGTCCATCCCTGGAAACATATCTTACTGCAATGTGGGGCAGCACACTTAGAAAAGCAATGTCATGTGGGTGAAGAGGGAAATGCCACTTGTAAATCTCTTTAAACCATTTCAAAATTAGCCACACTCCACCTAGCAATGATTGTTTTTTGTAATAGTGGGGTGAAGATTAAAAGTAAATAAGATGACACATTCTAAATAAGTGAATGGTGATTATCTGTGTTCTCAAAAACTCTTTTCCTGGCTGTCAAAATGCCAAGAGAAATGGCTGCTTTAGTAGATTTGAATGCCTTTGACCAATTTGAATTTCCTAATCAACTGCATGGATGACCTTATTTGAAACTCATGGCTAGCTTGTAGATCATGAATGCATGCTTGATTCTTACTTTACCATGCACATATTAGTGATAGAATCTGACTATCAACTCTATGGGGCTATTTGGTGCAGCTTATATGAGTTGCTTATAAATTTTTTTTATTTTGGAAGTCTATGTCAAACTGTTTAGTGCAATTTCTACTTACAACTTATTTGACAAAAATAGCTTAAATAAGTTGAAAAAAACAAATTATGTTTGGTTGTGCTTTTTTTAAGCTAAAAGCTGATAATCAAAAAGCATAAGCCAAAAGAACCTCTCCCCAGTTTTCAAATAATTATCTTTTTTCAGCTTATTGTTTCTACCTAATAAGCTATAAGCAGAAGTTATACCAAACAGTCTGACACAGACTCTCAAATTCTATGACGCATGTGTACATCGGCAAACATGTTGTACCCTATACTCAAATTTTTTCTTCTTAATGTTTATTGCACCCTAGACATACCCAGTATATACCTATGTTGTACCTTAGCGGGAATAGTATTTTCTTCTATATAGAGGTGAAGTTAATTTCATTGGACTTTTTTTTTTTTTATGTTTAGCATGATTTTAAAATTAAGCTTTCGTTAGTAAGTTTTTTAATATAATGATATTTAATTTTAGTTTATACCATACTTTTGAAATTTAATGTAGATTGTAGGTTGGATCTATGTTACCAAAAACGCTAATACCCTAGCAAATTACGTATTGATACGCAAGTTCCGAAACATGGTACACTTCCGTTCCAAAACAATAAATTTAGTGATCCAAAGCATTCTCAAAAGTTTTTTCCAATATATTTCCTTAAATGTTATTTAGGAGGAAAAAAATCAAATATAATGAACTAAAATCTAAAATGAGTTAAGATTTGATAAGACAAAAACATTAAAAATGAAAAGGAAAAAAAAAAAACATTTTGTTGGATGTCTAATAGTTAAAAGAAAATTATTCTAGAAGTACCTTAAATTCTTAAGTATAATATATACTAGTCTACCCGTATAGTACCACATTTTAGAGCATGTGGCATATCACATTCTTATTTCCGTTCCACATACTTGATCAATTCACGTTCCAGGTAACATAGGGTTGGATCTTAACAAAATAAACCATTTAACTAATATTTTCATTACTTCAAATTAAAAATAGATATTTTTTATGAATGTACCTAGCCATAGCCATACCCATACCCATACCCTACATTTTTATTTTTTATTTTTTAGTATTGATGTACTCGTATTGTACCAATACCAATATCTGCACCCGTACACATGCTTCATAGCCCAAATTAAATTAAGTTGTAAGCAGTTCATTTAAGTTGCACCAAAAAGCTCACCCTTGAAGCTGGGGGGAGGGGTGTTTTTGGCTTCTGCTTTCTTATTATCAGCTTTTAGCTTATAATAAGTTGCACCAAACAGACCCAGTGAGCCAAATCAGTTATGATATTTTTGGAAACCAAATAAATTTAAACAGATCCTATTCAAAAGAAATATGTCAAGATTGAGCATTTCAAAGACAAATATTAGAACCAACAAGCTGCTTAAATTGACCAAACAATCTAATAGTTTGAGATGTAGATGGGGTTTAAGTGATCAAGGACAAATCTTTAAGTTCAAATGTTCAGATCCATTTGCTTAAAACTAAGATCTCAAGATGACAAAGTAAGAAAAGTCTGAGCCATCTGAGAGTGGTACACATAATACAAAAAAGAAATATGTATTCTACCAGATAGATTTAATATAGTTACACTCTGCTGCAATTTTCTCTCAGATATGGCATTGCTGAAAATTTCCCGTATATAAGTTTCCTCTGTTAGCTACTTCATTTATCACATTGTCATTCCTAAGTGCCAGTCCCAGAAATCAAGGGTGCTAGACGAGGTAGACTTGATATTGACCTCACCTTTGGCATAATATGCACAAAGTGACTGCAGTCTGAAACCCACATTCTCGTGCTTTACAGCCTGAGCTTTTATACCTGCACCAAGCAATTACCCCTTTACATCATTTATGACATATTAGTAAATCTGTAAAGGCAACAATGATTGGTCCAAGTGCATATTTAATGCTTGAATTTAGATGAGACCATTGTCATTGTTGTTGTACTACACGATTAAATCTCCTGTAATTTGCAGTGAAGGCTATGTTCCTCTTTGATTTGTTACTAATTGGTTATCCATCGTCTACATGTGGATGATGAATAACAGGATACTGCAATCTAATATGTGGCTTATCTGGCTAAAGAAACTGATAAAGTTAAAATGTGAATTTTTGTTCTTTTCAGTCACTTTTATCTGTTGGCAACTTGGCATTGACTTCTTTTTTCTTGATATTATAGATTGTTGGGCCTAAGAATTGTTCATATTTTATATTCCTCAGCAACTAAGAAGCATAGACACGACACGGACACACAAATTTTGAAAATGTAGGACACAATTCATCGGGGACACGTGCAAAGCATATAATTTTATCTAATTGTTATGTCATATTTTTTAATATTATATGTTTATTCTATATCAAATATTTATTCTCATCAAATTTCATCAACCTTGGTATGCTATTGTGGTGAGAAAAAAAAAAATTAAAAATGGGTCCCTAACGTATCCTTAGCGTGTACCAACATGTCCCCAGCATGTTCCACTCCTTCTAGTATGTCCGACACGTCTTGGAGCATGTCTGAGCGTGTCCTACACATGTCAGACTCCTGGAGAGGTGTCGGGTGCGTCATAGCTCAACAACTTTCATTTTAAGTGTCAGTGTGTCACTTTGATTTGAGCATTTTTGTCAATTTATTGGGCAAATTGCAAATAAGTGGAAGAATGAGAAAGTAGTTGCAATTTCATGGGATTCTTTTTGGTGCAAGTGTTATTTGTGAAATTGCACAAATATGACTTGCACAAAAAACATTCGATTAAAAGTGCAAGTATTTTACCTAAGTCCCATGTTTTTGCAATTCCCCCTATTTTATTGTGTTGTATAGGGGCGGTTTGGGGTTGTTGGTCTTGCCTTCTAAAGTTGAAATGCGATATGTACATAAAAGTGATTCAAATATGGATTCCTCTTGTATTTTGACCACAATTTCTTACTTCTCCCTATTTGACTGATCTGAAAATCATCATCGAATCTAATGCCTTGATTGAAACTTTCAGGTGCGTGATCTTGTAGAAGCATCAAAGAGATATAGCTGTTTAAATAATTTACTCGATGTTGATGTCAAAAATGATACAGTGAGAACACCCGGAAGCCTTTCACGTAATCTGCGCAGAGTTAGGCAGGGTCTTGACCTCATTAGAGCTTTATTTGAAAATTTTTTGTCTTCAGAGTATGTTTCACTCCTTTCTAGAATCTTTCTTTTCTCACATCTAATAAAATGTTTACTGGCACTTGTAAGTTTAAACTCTGTATGCCCTGCTGTTCATGCTTCTTCACATACCATGTGCTTTGGTGATACATCTTATTTCTCCATCATATATTGTGAAGAATTTTTTGGGTCTCGATTAAGATTCTTTTTTTCCATTGTGTTGTGTTTCTTAGCCTTATGCCTTGGCTGCCATATTTGCAACAGTGTTTTAACTTAACAATCTAAAAAACAGTGATTTTGAATCTCTAGTAGGGCTCTAAAATTTGCAATACAAGTTCATTTTTTTCCCATCCAAAACCTTGGAACTTAAATTGCTATCCCTTGATTACTTCTTTCTTTTTTGTTGCTTACAAACTATGTTGATCTTTATCCCCATTGCCAATTCTATTATGACCTAGGAAGCATGGATACGGATACGGGATACGGATACGGATACGATACGATACGGCGATAAGACAAAATTTGAAAAACTAGGATACGGGTACGGCGGGGATACGTTCGTAAAAAATATTATTTTAACAATTTTTAGTAATGCAGTATGCATAAAAATAAAACTTAAAGCAAAAGACAACTTGATAAAGAAGAAAGATTGCTACAAAACTAAGAGTCTTCAAGATCAATAGTTTCAACTTGTTCCCCTTCATCAGTGAATATCACAAGACCTTAGCTAAAGCCAAAGCCAAAAAACCATTCTTAAATAAAAATTTCAGCAAATATACTTTTTTAAGTCATCAATGATAGCCTAGGAAGCACGGATACGAATATGGTGATATGGAAATGTGGATATGGCGATATGTCAAAATTTGAAAAAGTATGATACGGGTGCAGCGGGGATACATTCATAATTTTTTTTTTTTTTTATAATTTTAATAATGTAATATGCATGAAAATAAAACTTAAAGTAAATTAATAAATAAAGAGAGGGATTCCTATTAACCTAAAAGTGCTCAAACATTCATTAAACATCCAAAACTAAAAGCAAATGCAAATGCAAATGCAAATGCAAATTAAACATCATCCTTACATGCCAACACCAAAAAAAAAATGAGAGCAGAGAGAAGAAACGTGAGAGAGTGAGAAAGCGAGAGAGACAACAAGAATACATCAATTTGACAAATTCTATTACTTTAGCTCTCACTATATTCCTCTTAAGAAAGAACTAAACAAAATATTATAAGTAATATGTAACTTCGAGTATCCGATACTTCAAAATTAAGTATCCGATACTTCAAAATTAATAAAAAATTAATTAAGAAGTATCCGATACTTTTAAGAAGTATCCGATACGTATCCGCGAGTATCCGAGGAGTATCGGTATCCGATAAGTATCCGATACGGATACGTTACCCTTTTTGAAGTATCCGTGCTTCATAGATTATGACAGACTAGTGTGCCCTACAACCAACTAAAGGATGCATTATTTCCTTTTCTGGACATTATGATTAATAGCTGTAGATATACACTATTTCCTTGCATATTTTGTCAATTCTTGCTAATTAATTAAATTACCATCATGCCAGAGCTCAATAATTTTGCATTTAACAAGAATTCAGATTCTCCTATTGTTGTTTAGATGCTTCTACAGAAATTTGATGAAGGAAAGCAGAGAACGTTCAATTTCTTTACTCGATACTCACTTCAGTCCTGTTCTTGCTTGCTTTGATCTTTTAATAATTTCATGGATAATGACTATACACGCAAAAAATAGCATTATTTATCTAAGGAAACATGGGGATAAAACGAAAATAAAAAATTACTATCACTTGGAGTAGGTCTTCATGTCTGGAGTGTGTAAGTGCGGAGTAGGGGTGGGTACTTGACTCTCATATGAAATTACACATCCAGGAATCACATTTTTTCTCATGTTTGTGGCTGTGTCTGTCCAGTGATGAATTACCTACCTCTTCAGTATGTGTGATTTTGTTTGTGTGTACATGATGGGGTGTCTGTCTAATCTCTTTTATTTGTTTGCATGTTCTGCTGTCATCGTGGGATCTACTTGTGCATCTGTTTAATTACGTGGAACCCCTTGAAGGCAGGGCCACTTTGCACCCTATAGATTGACTTATACAATTCTCTAACATTGGTTAAACCAGGAGTTTTGTCTGTATTTTTGGCATGATCATGCTAAAATTGCAGTATGTAGTCTGCCAAAGATAATTTTTAAAATTCCAATAGAACACTACTACATTAGGTGAATCAAACATCTATTAACCAGGATATTTTTTAAAACAAATTGAACAATCTTATTGTTCCAAAGCATCTACTACATTAGGTGAATCAAACATCTATTAACCAGGATATTTTTTAAAACAAATTGAACAATCTTATTGTTCCAAAGCATTGTATCTTACAAGGTTCTCATATCAAATCGAGTGCTTTAACTAGTTCTTGACCGTTTCTGACTTTGTCATCATTTTATCTGATTATTGTAATCTTTGCTGCTGCTTTTTTATCATAGGAAACAGAATCTCATATTTCTTTGTTTCTGTCAGCTATTGCACTTTGAAGGACGCAGCGTCTACAGCTTATGCACAAGTTTGTGCGCCATACCATACATGGGCAGTCAGGACAGCAGTTTCTGCTGGAATGTATGCTCTTCCAACAAGGGAACAACTTCTGCTGAATCTAAATGAAACAGGTGAGTTTGTGATCACTTTTTAAGCAGTGATATGGCTTTATTGGTTTCTTTTAGCGTGGAAATGTGACATTATTGGCAATTTGAACTATTGTTAAAGTTTGAATTAAATTCTACAAATTAGGCTCTCTACTGGTACATTTTGAATCAGTAATCATTGATGAAGTGTGCCAAAGTAAATATGTGATTAATGTATGAGGAAATCATTAATGGGTCAATAAGGGTGGTTTGGAAACATTACATTTTAGCTAAAAAACCAAAAACCAATACAAAAAGTCTAACACATTCTCTCTACTTTTTTGCATGTATTTCCGTAAAAAAAATAAAAAAACCACTAAAAAAAATCAATTTCTAAACATCCCTGACCTGAGATTGTGTTTGTTACACTATCCATAAACTAAAGAACATAAACATCCTCACCTGTGTGTGGTGTATTTGAATAATTTGTGTTCAATCACAGCATCAAAAAGAGTAGGTTATTATTTTCACCTAGTTTCTCAAGGTACAATCATAAATATTTAAGGGAAAGAAAAAAATGGAGGAGAAATAAAATGAAAAAGAAAAAGGGAACCTCCAAACCATATTCCATCTCTCTCAACAAAATACTTGAATGATACACATATTTTATGCTTCATTGTGTCAAACATTATGTTTTCAGGAGAAAAAAAAAATTTGTATTCTAATGATTCTATTATTGCAGATGAATCAGCAGAGAAGGAAATGAGAAGGTATATCAAAGCCTCGCTCCCGATTATAGAATACATAGATAAGTTGTACATTTCAAGAAATATCAGCTTGGATTGGTAACTTGTTATCTGTTCTTGGAGGGATTGGACAGGAAATATCAGCCAAGTTCATCCTGTGTTTCAATGTTAGTCAAGAATGTTACAAGGCATTCTGAATTTGCTGCCCTGAAGCAATCATTCAGACTTCGAAGCCAACGAATTTTCAGTTAGTTTGACTTAATTCATTCTACCCAAATTGTAGCAGCTCCAAGGGTAAATGAACTTGAGCACCCCACACCGGTTGTTGCCGAGCATTCTTAGCATAGATGGCAGAGTCAGTAACAAAAATTTATTTGCATTGGAAATTTTCAGGAAATATGTACACTTGTTTTTTTTCTTTTTTGTATCCGAATTCATTCGTTTGCTTGTACATGAAAATTTACTTCCAAAGAAAGATATTTACACTACAATGGATTCCTCTACATTGATTGTCAATTAAATTGTGACAACTCTTTGCAAACGGTCTTTGTTTGGTTGAATTTTTAAATTGTTTTATTTGATTTTATTTTATTTTTTAAAAAAAAAAACTGTAAATTAGTTTGGTTTTAAAAAAGAAAAAATACTCATTATTTTTATATGATTTTTAATGAAAATATATTTTTTTAATTTGAAATTATTTTGAGAGATGCACCAATAAATCTTAAATTCTAATCTTTTGATCCATTTAGTCCTAATTTTAATTTTATAAACCAATAAGTCTCATCCTAACGTTAAAGACCAAGTTGCCCATGTTTATCCTGCAAAGTAAGGGTAATTGTGGGTTTTGTTGATGTTGATTTTAGGTCAATGTCCCAAATATTCCCTGTGGGGTATTTTGGTTTCCCTCCAAAGTAATCGGAACGGAAGAGACGTAAATGGAAATTTGTGCTTTCTATCCGATGTTAATGGGATATTGGTTGGTGTGTTGGTGATCTATCTGTAATGGGTACACGTTGATTCAGTGTAGATTGGTACACTAATTTGAACATTCCTTTTCTTCGTAAATCTTAGAAACATACGAAGCCGCTATTGGGGCAATACGTTTACGTTGTGAATTTAGAGTCTGTCGCGACGTTGTGTGGTGGTGCGAAAAGAAAACAACCTCCAGTCGTTACCACCAGTGATTGTGACATCAACAAATAACGTCGGGTAAGTTGCTCAGTTGTGTATGTGAACTAAATGATATAGATGGTGTTGTTCAAATTGAGTTGTGGAAGTGGTTTGAAGTGTACTGTAGTTTGTTGAAATGTGGAAAGTGATGGTGTTGTTGAGTAATGTTGATGGTCAGGACAGCGAAATGTAGATTGAATGTAATGGGGTTTGGGTGCAGACGTTTTTTATCCAATTTTTTTGATTTGCACATGAATGTGTTAATACTGTTTTGGATTCCTTTGTGTAGTTGTCTTTTTTTAGCTGGTTATGTTAATTTGTGATTGGGGGTTTGTCCATAGGGTAATGTTAGGGACACCAAATTTTCTACCAAATAAATGACCAAATGTCTCACATGGTTGTGGGGTCCGCAATTTTGTAGGCCCTACACCCATGTGAGACATTTGGTCATTTATTTGATAGAAAATTTGAGACCTCTAACATTTTCCTTGTCCATATAGAGGTATTTACATATGAGAGGATTTACAAATTAATGGTTATGTTAATTTGTTAATAATTCCTCTATTTTTTATGCTGAAACACAACAAAACACCGCCGGAAATGAAACACAAAAAGAATAAAGACGGTTCGCTGTCAGAAAAAATATCTACCCCACCAGACAATATCACCACAATCTCTCACCACTAAACAAATGAGATCAATGTAAACTAAATCAAAACAGATTCCCCATGATAACATTTCCTTATCCCCATTCAAAACTGAAACAGTCAATTAGGAAGAAAACACAATCACACCAAAATCAAAATAAAATCAAACTCATCCAAATAAAACATACTAAAAAAATAGAACTAATTGGTGTAAAAAAAACTCAGGACCAAGTTTTTTAACTTTCCTCCACTTAGAATTTATGAGTAATTTTTCCAATTATTTTTTTTCATTTATTTTAGAAAAAATTACAATCCAATGATAAGTGCAGCCAATATTTACTGAAAGATTCTACTGTGTTTTTTTTACACAAAATTACACCATCACGTCTTTGTAACTATTTTTTATCATGTTCACTGATTTTGAGTTTTCCCTTTATTTTAGACAAATTAGTTTTTAATTTTTGAAAGAAAAAATAGGACATTTTAAATTCTCAACCAAATGCGATAGTTGACCTTTAATAGATTTCACCGTATGTGAGTCATGCTTAATTTTGTGATCGAATTCTATACACTTAAAAGCAATATGATTGCATAGGCTACTTGTATTTAGCTAAACAATGTAGAGAGAACATTTAACACGTGACATAAAATAAATAAAAACTATGGTGAAATCTAAAAACACTAAAAACTAAAAACAGCACACTTCATGACAAGACAATCCCTCACCAAGTTAAATTACACTACATTTTCAACAAGTGCTTTTTATTGTCCTGTTTCAAAACTGTTGGATGGTACCCTAGTTCCTTCTTGGCAAAACAAAAGAAAGAATGAAATGAAGAGTACAACATTTAGTACTGCTACTGCTGCAAACGAGGTTCCTTAACCGCACTCTGTTCTGTTCAATTGAGGCACGCTCTAATATGGTCTTTCACTACAAACCCAATCATTGTCTACATTGTCAGGCTGTCCGGGTTCTCAATGATCTTTGAGAAGGTCTGGAGGAAGGCAGCCAAGTCAGCACCATAGATGATTCGATGATCAGCGGTAACGTTCACCTGGAAAAAGCAAAATTCATGCAACAATTCAGTCCAGTGTCTATATAAGGAATTCTCAAAATATTGAGGTAGTTTTCATGTATACCCTTCCTAGTTCAATTGTTTTACAGGGAAAAGTAAATGCAGACAGTAAAACAAACATTTATAAACAGAATTAGTTTGTTCAGAATTAAAGCAAAAGTTTATTTTAAGAATATGTTCCAGATATGATTGCTTGCTTTACTGCAATCGAAAGCAGTTTGGTTGCTTATTGGACATCAGCATGTAAAAAAATGAAGGTAGCAACCAAAACTACTGTGCAATAACTCTATCCATTTTTCTTTCTGAAATTCTCTTGGGGTACTTGGTGAGGAGGGTTAGGTTATCACATAGAAAATTCTCCTTTCCATAATAGAAATTTGACATGGAACAAGTACAAGTGTTGAGGACTTGACTGCTCAAGTAAAAAAAATAATCACATCCTGTACATGCATGTCAATTGAAGTACAAATCATGGCCACTGAACTCTATTCTCACCTCCCAATCTCATTAGTGCCATTAGTCACAATTTTTGAGATAAAGATATGTTTGTAATGCTCATATGTAAGGACATTAACACATGGAATTAATGCCCATGTCAATTGTGAAGTAATTAAAAGTGGCAAAGCCTGGGGAATCAAGGCTCTTGAACACTTCTTGCCTCTCTAAATAGGCATCCTACCATAGTTAAAATCTATCTGATCACAATTCCCTGGTAACTGGGATTGCCAATACGCAAATGCAGGGAAAATATTTCCACTTAGCAGAGCTCCTGGCTAAATAGCTGATCACCAAGGCTTTGGAAGTCTAAATCAGAAGTTCTACTACCAAGTCCACTTGCATATACTCAGCTCAGTAAAAAGGCTCTCAGTGAGGAGTTTCAACAAAATATAGAAGACCCAAGAGGGTCAAAACCTATTGGCTAATACATTCCAGGTTGCAGTTCTAAGAAAAAACCATCTATTAGACCAGTAAAGTGGAATATCTGCTACTATTGGTTTTATTGCCCATTTCACTCGTGCTGGAGTTAAACATTATCTATTGGAAAGCAGTTCAACTTCAGTAGTATATCAGACTAAGGTTCGGGTCCTGTGAATTCCCATCAAGAAAGGAACTGCAGTGCTTTTTAAGGAGGTTAAAGCTTGGTGAAGTTTATGCATGTTTTGGAGAACTAGTGCTTAGTGCAAATGAACCTAACCGAGCTGCTTGGGAATAACCTGTTAAAATGCAGACTCAACCTCATATGAGAAGTGAGTGAGCCCAAGTTCTAACCACAATCTAAGGCTCATTTCTTCAAGGAGCTTGGCTTAGTATCCCTATTAACAAGAACTTCAGCGATCTGAAGAAAGGTGTAGAATTTAAATTAGAAAGAACCATATACTTTAGGCATTTGGTATCATTACAACTTACAAGTGTAAGATAAAAACAAACAAACAAAAATGAAGGGAATAAGAAAAACCACACTACATGCACAGCTAGAACAAGTCAAGCTGGCCCTGAGTAATCTATAAAGTTGTTCACCAATCGAGACCAAGAAAGTTTAAATTGCCACCTACAACTTGAATCATTTCATTCCAATTTCCACTAACCGAGTCCTTGGAAATTCTTAAGAACAGAGTGAGCATAACTACTTCACATGGTATTGTGATGACTAATGATAAAGAAGAGCTCAGTATAGACTATTTAAAAGCAATTACCCGAATTCCCGACCTGGTAGAGGAGTGATCAAACTGAAACATGGTCATTTTACATTCTTGCAAACACATAATAAAGTATTATGTGTGCCATATTCTATATTCTATAGATAGAAAAAATTGATATCGAAACACCCAAAGGCACCCATCAAATGGTGACAGGGTCCCAAGGGCGAAAAAGAAAAAAGAAAAAAGAAAAATAAATTTGAGGGCCTTCAAAAGAAGATAACTGAAGGACCACCCGTAATTTATGGACTAAGGACAGTGCAAAAAAACCATTCATAAGAAGATAAGAAAAGAAACCCCACTTTGATTCAAGTAACTGCTTGAATCTCAAGGTCTAGTGCGGATCTTATTGCCATCTTCCGGACAGTAAAATTGCTTCTCATGTCCTCAGGTAATTCTTCTCGTCATAATTTCAAACATTTTCTGAAGCATTTATATAACCATAATGTTATTGCTTCCTAACTCTAACCCTAACTCTAAAAGAGCAACGTATCCATATCGTATCCATATTGGATACCAATACTTCTTGGATACTCGTACATACGTATCGGATACTTCTTAATTAATCTTCAATGTCAACAATCACACAAATGAGAACTCAAGGTTTACCTTCCTACATGTCCTATCAGTGTCATAGTGGCAACACAAATCTAATACCACATTATCATAAACCCTAGAACATTTACAAGAATACATTTAACATTCAGCTCAGCTTAACAAAGCTATAAATTAACTAATAGGGATCAACTAATTGCATCCTCATATTGAACTCTACTCTATATATCATTTGTCAATCTAATTCTCCAGGTTATCATAAGTTGTTCATTTGGCATGGGGCTAAAATGAGGTTGGGAGCTAAATTAGTCACAAAAAGACAAAATACGCTAAAAAGCTAATAAGACAAAATGTCACATCCAAATCATATTCATTT